TAGATGGCACAAACTATAACACAAAACTTAACTTACATTATCTTTAATTGTGTTATGTGCAAAATACTTAGTGATAATTTACAACTTTATTTCTGGAAAATGTAACACATTAGGAAACAAATTTTTTCTTACAAGGTCTCATACTTTATGATGTAAGTTTATTCCTTAGTCATGTTTTTAGTTCACTGTAAGATATTGGTGGATGTAGACCTAAGATTAATTTAGGTTTTACACACGAGCTATATATAATATGTGATTATTATATTTCTATGAAAACATTACCTAATAACTTGCAGACCATATACAGCGCTGTGAATTTTACAACTTTCAGAACACTGACCGTGATTTGCCAGCAAATGATGCCTTATTTTTCTGCACTTTTGTTGGAAATAAAGATGAAAATAAATGTACTAAGTTGCCTAAGAGCATAATAAAAGAAAAAAAAACCCTGTGATCCCTCTGTAGCCACATATCATTTTTACTCCCTTTGCAGCATTGTAGATTAATTTCAGTGAATAAAATGAAAGCCTGACCACAAAATAGTTTACAGTAATATGAGATCTATTCATTGTTTTGAGAAGGTATAGACATGCACACCATGTCAGTACCCACTAAAGGTAATAATTTTCTTCTCCTGGGCTCATGCATTAACTAACTGGGAAATACCAGTATATGCTTGAGTTAATGTGTAACATACTTTGTTACATACATACAACATGCATACAACATACAAGGAGTAACATACTTTGGAGAGGGTATGGGCTGCATGTTACATGTTTTGAATTGTCAGATTAGTCACGTAAGACTTGGTATTGTGAGAACAGTTTGTATTTATTTTTATCTGCTTTGTATTTTGAATGGAATTGCAATATTTAGGGAATTTTTGATTATTACATTTTGAAACCTTGTATAGATGCAACTTTTTTTTTTTTTACAAAAAACCGTATCTCAGTAACTTGAATTATTCCTTCCATATTTCATGCTTAAATTTAAAAGGAAACCTCATTCATAGATAGATTTCCCCCTCAATGGGATTGTAATAATTGGAATGTATTTTATTTATTGTATTTATATTCTGCTGCCATCCAAATAGTTGGCAGTCCAAAAAGTGGACTCTGCCCCTATGGGAATAACCCTAGGATGATGATGATCCTGATACAAATACACATTGCCACTTATATAAGTTTGTAGTTATACCAGTATCGTTCTGTCTTTTAACTTTTTCATTTGTGTGGTGTATAATCTGAGCATTATTGACTGAATGCTTATTAGGTTTGATAATATATTTTAATGGTTATACAATATAAAAGGAATGAAAAAGCAATACTGTTTATTTTATATAATACACACATATTATGTACCAGTCTAATCCAGGCAGGACCAAAGCAGCAACGGGTCAGCCCTGGCTCGCCTTCCTCTCGGCCACCAGCAAGCCAGGCAAATGGGGTGGGGGGGAAACTGAATTGCGCCCTGCAAGGGCCCCACCTCCAGCACTCCTCTGCTACCCCCTTGCCTCTTAGCGCCTCCCTAAGTCATCCCACTGCCCCCCAGGGGGCGGTACCGCCCACTTTGGAAATCACTGCTATAGGGTTTTGTTATTCATGTTTTCTTAGATATTGTATTACCATATGTTTTCATATTCAGCATTCAGGACATTACATCTCTCATGCAAGCATATATGGATAGACCTCATTTAGCAATGACAATTGGGTCATCAATCCAGATGGTTGTTGCTAAGTGAAGTCATAACTGTGCTTACAGTTTGATTTCAGTTTACCTTTGTTTTATAGATCTGTGAAGGTCATAAATGCAAAGATGAATTGCTGAATTATGAGTTATAATACTAGTGTATATTTTTTGAATATATTACAAACAAATTTAAACAGTAATGGCATCCAAATAACAAATAAAAATGCAGTGTGTACGAAGGAAACTCCTAATTGTTTTTCTGTAACTCAATACTTTGTTTATAAAATTAAAAGATGCTGTTGAAATGTTATTAACCTAGAATTTATATATATATCTTCGACTTAAGTGATATATTTTTTAAAGATTCTGCTAAAGCGATGTAAGAAAAAGAACAACATGGTTTATTTAATTGCTTAGTATTTTTCAAAATAAGGGCAAATCCGGTGATTGAATGTATGGTGGATTCTGCTGCCTTCTGAAGATTTAATTTGTACAGGTAAGCAAAGGTAATAATAATGAGTTTGCTAGTAAATCCTTAAATTGTCTATGAAATAAACATTTTGTTTATTGTTAAGTAGAAATATGCATGCATACTTAATACATTTTGGGAAAGAACTAAAGAAATATATACTGTGCTTCATTATTTTGCAAGTTTTTTGTCATCTCAAAATTATTAATCTTTTAAAAGGAATTTGAAATAAGATACCACATCAACTGTATATTAAAAAATAAATTTTAGCGGCAAAAATTATTTCAGTATTTGTTTAAGAAAGGCATAAATCACTGGAACTATATAAAAGAGATTCAAACTATAACATATCTATTATGCAGTGAAACAAGATATGATTTGTGTACTTTAGATAACAATTTTTTATCTGCCTCACTTATTTGTATATCCTCGAATGTAAGTGAACTTATTTGCTGTGCAGTCCCCCTTTGAATTTTTCTTCTTGTGTTTAGATCTGAGATTAATAAACCAGACAATTTAGTGAAGTCTGGTAAATTTTTTACATAAATGATAGTTTCTGAAATTTTGAATCTTAATGCTATTTCTAACAGCATAAGTAGAACAAAATACAAATCTTAATGATTGCCAGCTAACCATGCCTTCTCAACTGTAATTTGAAGATAATAAGCTTTACAATACGGGATTGATATAGAATTACTGAGACAATGCCTGAAGCATTTAAATGCTTAGTAAATGATACTTTTACTTGCTATTGATATAATTTTTAACATTATTTTGAAGATTGCAAAATTTCATGTCAGTTTTAAATTTTTGCCATCGCATGATTTTATACGATGCCTGAGTGGATTGCTAATTGTTCAGCTCAGAACATGAATTTTAATCAATTTTATATGCTGCATACCACTATCACCACCTTCTAGTAAAAATATCTCTGTAAACTTTGGAAAAGATGATATTTAGATTGATTTCTATATTGGAATCTTTACATGAGTTTAAATATTAGAATATTCATATGAGTTTAAGCATTTGCTGGTTGGGCTTCGTTGGTGACTGTAGTATTTCTACATTTCTCTGGGTAATTTTGTCATAGAAATTCTATTTATTTAACAATATTTTTATTGCATTTGATAAAATAGAAAATCATAGATAAAATAAAATTCAAAGCACCTTCTCTTGTCGGTCATTTAATTTCTTTACTCATATTTCTAGTTCATATTTGTACTCTAATTCTCATATGTAGTTCTGTTGTCCTGAGAAGTTAGTATGGTTTTCCTTTTTAACAGAAAAAAAAATACTTTTAAGTATTATTAATATATATTTGACTAAGTATTAATTGAAAGGGGTTAGAAAATCCTATAATATCGATAGATTTGACAGCATGACAATTGTATTATGAATACTTGTTTTGCTAATTTCTGATTATGATATTTTTATGAGCAGAGTCCAGCAAGACCCTGTGGGACTTTTAGTTATGTGAATTATTTCTCAAACATGCGCTATTTAATTTTTTTTTTTTTAAGAAATACTTCATCCATTGATATTTAATAATTCTTGTTATAGTGGAGTTTATGCAGTGTGTTTTAGTGCAACATTTGCCATAGATCTCATGAATACTTTTAAATTTAATTGTAAATAATGGTACTATTATTGACTGTCTTAATTATATGATAATTTTAATATTTTGGTAGTATGTGAATTATAGATATATTTATTTTACATTAGGAAATTTGTAGAATATCTTGACTCTTACTTTTTTGTAGTTACTCAATTGTAGAATATCTTGACTCTTACTTTTTTATTGAATACATTGTATACATTAATATATACATTATATAGATGATTTTAGCTTATTCTGGGAAGAAAATAATGCCAAATGCTTACAGCTTTACAGGCTGTAGTTTTTAATTATTCCTGTTCTAATTTCTTCAGGTTATCAATCAGTGGAATTATCTGAAACTTCACATGTGTTCCATCACCAATAATACATATCCTGTCAGCATTTTTACTTAACAGAGAATGGCAATGTTGTTTTCTTTGATAAAAATTAAAATTATGAATTTTGATAATACTATGCATCTTACTAAGTTTTTAACAATTAGAGTTAGATAAATACTTGCTAATGTTTATTTTTTATTTTAAGGGATACCTTAATAGTTGCACTTTTTATCTATTTACAGAATCTAATTGAGCCCAATTGGAAATACTTATTTCATGCCCATATGGTAATTTTAAAAACAAATCCAGTAGTTCAATTGCCTACAATTACTCCACTCGTCTACAAATAAATTATTTAAAAAGAAAAAAGCTTGACTTTCCAGTTTTGTCTCTGTATGCTGTCCTATAGCATAGGCTACAGTTTGATGACTATATATTGCCAGGCATTTGTTGCTGTTAAAGCATAATTTAAAATTAATACATGTATTTTATATTACATAAAGAATAATTTACATTTTTAAATTCTAAGACAAGTGTGATTAATACCAGTATTATAATGCTACAGAATATTTCATAGCATATTTTCATAATTAAATCTCAGAAAAGTATTAAATATGGCACAAATACAACCAGTTGTAAATACTGCCATCTGTTTTGACTCTTCCTAGAGCCAGTTAGTATACTTGAGGCTGATCTCTCGGTGGTTATCTAGGTATTGTTTTGTGTCTTCTCTATTAAAGATCAGAATTTTGAAAAAGAATAAAGTATAAATTTCTATTAATGGACGTAATGGTATTTTTTTATTTCATGAAATTACAAGTGTTATTTCATAAAATGGTTGGCCTAAAAATGAGAATGTTAAAATAATAAGTGGTAGGTTGACGATGCAAATTATGTTTACTTTCAGAGAGAACAGGAAATGAGAATGGGTGATATGGGTCCTCGTGGAGCATTAAACATGGGAGGTAGGGATCTGAAGCAAAAGGCTTTTGTTCTTGAAAATTTCTTTGAGACTGTACATGTTACTTCTGTGGACCTTGGCAGATAATCTTGGCCAAAATTTTAATTTGTTATACACTGGACTCAGTTTTTTTTCTTTCAAACATAATTTTTGATTTCACAAAATTAAAAGTAATAGAAAAAACTACCAGTATCAATTGAGAAGCATGAATTTGTGTTTCTTGTAAATCTTTCTAAAGTTGTATCTTAGAAAATGTAAAATTAAAATACTTCGTAGTACAAGTAAAAGTTTGATTTAATTTACTTCTTGAGAATTTATTATTTACTTCTTGAGAATTTATAACAGGGTGTTGAATATGTTATTTTTAATTGGAGACTTGTGTTTTTGTTTATGGGAATGATGGGAGCAAACTATAATGAAGCATTTAAGCTTGTAAAATATCAGCTTTGTCTTTCAGAACTTTATTTTATTGCATTATAACCATGTATATTTGTGTAATAGCCAAGCATCATGCAAAGTTACTACTTAGTCTTCAAAATCACACTAGTGAATATTTTTACAATATGCCAAAGTTGAGGTATTGATCTCTGTTAGTTTAAAGTTGTGAGTAAAACACTCATCTCATGCTAGCATTTCTTTAACAACAGCTAATTTGTATGTCTAATGCTGATTATTTTGGTATTTCTCATTGTGGCATTTTGGGCCATCTGGTATAATAATATTTATGTGTACCTGACTAAGATTAGTCTTAGTTTTATTTGGGTAGCTTCCTCAAGAAGTGTGATATACAGGCATCTCTAATAACGTTTGGATTAAGTTTATTATCCAGCACTATTTCATTTTGATTTCAGATTTTGAGCTTAAACTGGTTTTTGATGCCTTTATAGATAACTGATATGAGGAAAAGGAGAGGGAAATGTTTTCATAAATTTTAAACCATGTACAATCTGGGTTTTCATTTTCTGGGGAGCTGTTGCTTTGGGTATAAACCTCTGTGGCAAATGTATTATTTAAAAGCAAGTTCCAGTTTTCAGGTTCCTTCTGTTTTAAATTAGTCTAAAGTTCAGAAAATACTTTCAGACGGACTTTGTCTCTTTAAATGGTTAATCCTCCCCCCTTTTGCCCAATCCTGTGTGCTTTCATTTGGGTCTACTGTTACAAGAATAAAGGAAAATTTAACTGTTGAAAAAATATCTTAAAATATTAATTATATTTTAGCAGTATTTAAACCATGAGTAAAATAGAAAGGGAGCTATGCAGATTGGCTCTTACGCTGCGGTGAACTTATCTGTATTAAGAATCACAGGAAGATGGTATTGAGAGAAAGCTCTCTTATTGTAGATATTGGGCATTACAAAACTTGCCGCCATTATTGTTCACCTAGAATTAAAATGAAGACAATTAAAAACTACTGCTTCTGTATGTGTGCTGTTAGTGATTTATTTCATGAGAATTATTTTTCACTAAAGTCAGTACATATATAATATGATCACAATGTTGCTAGATATTTTTTCTTTGTCAATATACATTTTATAAAGAAGCCTCTAATTCAGTGCATTTAGTAATGCTTAGCATTTGGATAGGAGGCCAGCAGTAAATCACAAGACTTCAGACTAGATAGGGAGATTGGGGAAAAAACCCCAGAAAAGACAGTTGCAAATCACTTTAATATTGTTGTCAAGAAAATAATATGATTGTGGTCCTTACAATAATCAAGCGTAAGTAGACTCAAAAGAGCCTTTATCTTTACCTTGTATAATTTAAAAAGTGTTATTCTACTGTTATTGCAAGCTATACAAAATAATCTTTAACACAACTTATGATTTTCTCCAAATAAGTAGTTTCTTGCATTTTCCACATTAATACTTAGATTTTCTACATTCATTGTCATAAACATAAAATTATTGTTTAATTAGCCTTGTATAATATGATAAGCAAACAATGTTCAGGGGGAGGAAATTGTTGCACACAAAAGAACTGGTGCCATTTTGAAAGTTAATACCATTATCAAGAATTAATAGGAATTAGCTTATTGAAAAATACTTGAAATTGAGAATGTTACACTTTATTTGGGATGGTATTGTTCAATAATAATTGCTTAATGCCAAAAAATTAAAGTAAATGTACAGTCTCAAAGAATAACAGCTTTTTTTTCCAAATGTTTCTACTATTATAATTTGTAATTCTTTAAAATGCAGTTAGGACAGCTCTAAGTGTAGACTGTTTTACATAGATGCCTTTAGCCCAGCACCTGCTGGAAACCAAGGTCCTCCTCCACCTCCAATGATGAGTATGAATATGAACAACAGAGGGACAATGCCTGGCCCTGCAATGGGGCCAGGTCCTTCGTTGGGGCCAGAAGGAGCGACAAACATTGGAACCCCAATGATGCCAGATAATGGAACTGTGGTAATGTATCATAAACATTTACTTTTTTCCTACAACATAGCAAATCTATCTAAAACAAGGATAACTTCACACTGTAACCATGAGTGTTATTAAAAATAATTTAACAATTACATTAAATGTATATGGAGATTCTCAGTCATCCAGGTCTTAGTTGTCCCAAAGGTACTTTTTCAAGAGGCAACTGGATTTCAGAGCCGAAGAAGCTTCTTGGATGAGAAGTGAAATGTTTTCAAAGAAAAACACCAAAGTCCAGTTGCTTCTTGAAAAAAAGCACCTTTGGGACAAAAATTAAATTAGTTGCTAAATACGGCATCAATATTGCTCCTGTTACATATCATAACATGTTGTGTACTTCTTTTAATATAAATAAAAATAATGGACAAAAAAGTTTTATAAGTTCTTTGGGCTATTGCAAGTTACCATATTTAAAGGAGCATGAGTACATGCAGTTCAATGCGATTCCCCCTCCTCCCAAAAATGATTATGTCTCAAAGCTTCTATGGAAAAGACATTTAAGATTTAGTTTTTATTTTATACTGCAGACATGGATTACCAATAAGCATGTTTTATTGTTGGTGTATTGAAATGATTCATGGTGTGAAGCTATCTTTAAAATATTTTTAAAGCAAATTTAATTGATTAACAGATTTTTATCAGTGAGTTTATAACCACAAAGCTTTTTGTAAAACCTGACTATTTTTAATAGTTTCTCCAGAAAGCTAGATCTGATTCGGTTAAGGGAAAGTGAAGGATATTAACTAATATTTATACAGTATTTAATATATTTAACTTCTTGGTTCTATTATAGCATTTCTTGCTATAGCATTTCTCGGAGTTCCAAGAAGTGGAATTGGGGAATTAAAATTCATTCAGTGTTTTCAACACTAAATCTATTGTAATAAAACAAGAATTAAAAAAAAACTAGTTATATCTGCAGGTTTCATATGTATGTATTGCATATGTAATATGGGAGTATGTATATGTGTATTATTTTCCATAAGAACATCATGCTGTTCTTCAAAAGAATAATCAATTGTTGTATGTCATTTGCTGAGGAAATTGCTTTTCATAAAGTGATCTGGCATACCTAGTTTCTAGGTTCAGCATGCTCTGTCCATATTACTGAACCACGTGATGAGTCCATTTCTCTACCTTTTAAGGGAGGAAAATAATGAACAGTATTATGATGCAACTAATAAAGAGAAAATAATGGTTAAGAAGGCGCACTAATCTTTGTCAGTAAAAGAACTGGAAGCCATTTTTAAAATTACATGATTTACACCATTTTCAGAAGAGCTGAATTTGTTTTTCAAAATCACTTCAGCCTAGTATATTTGGATTATTTCTTATATTATTACATATATAATTCAATATTTATAGAGTTCTTATATTATTGAAGGAAAAAGTAGACATAGCTAAATATTTAAATTTGCTTAATTATCCTTAAAAATGTATCTGCTTCTTTTGTAATAAATTGGATAATAACAATACCCAACCTCACATCAGAGAACTTTTCTTGTATGGTTTCTTCAGTATCCTCTCATCTACTCTGGTAATACTGCAATTGATCAGAGCAGATTTGCAGGGAGTGTAATGGGCTCTAGGAAAAGGATACAATCTTTTATACCAGTTAATCTACGCAGCAATTGACCCAGAAAATGAGATAATTACTGCTGGTTTTTATAAATAATTTTTAGCATTAACAATATAGCAGTATTCATATCAATGACTTAGTTTCTGCATTACATTCATTTCAAGAATCAGAATTTGTTCTCTGAAAAATCTGCTGCTGCTGCTGGCTTTGGACTTTTAGAAACAGTGTGCAATGCAGGAGAAATAAAAATTCCAGAAAATATAACTCCTTGTGTAAACCAAAGACATTTCCATTCATACTTTTAATCCAATTGGATCATAAAGTTGGAGTTGGCCAGGTAGGCTATTAAGTCATTTTAGGGATCTTAATTAAAATTTTCTCTTAGTGAGGTATTTAACATTCATATTAATTTATATAACTTTAAACAATACATAACACTATAATGAATTAGCATTTTTCAAGATTATGAAATAATCTCATTTCTTTAGTTTCAAAAGAGAATATGATAATTTTTCCACAATTTTGAATTAGAACACCCTTAATCGATTCAGTTTCAACTTATATTTTAAAGACGTTAAATATAAATTTGGCTTTAAATGTTGATGTGAATTACATGAAATCTGTCTATCATCTGTCTATATCTATGGTACACTTTTAGCAATTTTGAACCTAGATTCCTGTTGCATTTAGCCTCTCTTAAAAAGTTTAGGTACCTTCTAAAATGTACTTTTAATTTCATTTCTTTATTTATTCCTACTTTTGATATAGTTTATACATATTTAACATACTTAATATTTATGTATACTTAGATTTTGTACAGAAGATTCAGAATATAAAATACCCATTCATTAGAATTAGACCTCTTAGAATGGTTACACTTTGCCTACTTATTCTTTTAACTAAATGAGCTGGTTGTCACAATATTGTTTGACTTACTTTTAAGCTTACATTCAACTTTTAAAGGTAATGACTAAATTAATTGCTCCTTTCTTCCTTCTATGTGTCATCCTGATTCTGCCGGACTATCTGCTGAACTTCCTGAAAACGTCATATTTCCCCTATTTGTTGTAATTCAAATTGGGGGTTTGTTCTAAATGGACTTAATGTAGCATTCTGAAAGATTTTCTCAAGGAGGCCCACCACAAATGGGTTCACCTATGGTTAATAGACCAGGCTCTGAAACTCCTCAACCAGCTATGGGTGGTGTAGGTGCCGTCAATAGTGGACCCAGTGGCTTTGGTAGAGGAAATCCTGGGGGCAGCTTTGAAGGACCTAACAAGCGTCGCAGATATTGAAACATTCATTTTTGTACTCTTGTGAAATTGAATGAATGACTATCTGGTGTTATAATTCTATATAATTTCAACTGTTACTTTTGAATGGTTTTACTGTTAATATAGATATTAACCTTTTTTGGTAAACTATATAGACTTTTTTTGGTATTTAGTCATAGGCTTAGGATAGTGTAGAAATAAAGCACTTCATTCGTTCAGTTGTTTGTGACTGCCACAAAATATAATGTGACCATGCCGTGAAATTTGTGAGTTACATGCTTACAATAAAATAACAGTGTAAATGATTTTGAAACACTGCTATGAATACTATCTTTAAATTTAATTGTAAGTATCCATAATTATTTTTCTTTGATAATGCCTATCTTTTTTTGGGTGGGGGGATCTGCTTTATCCATTATAATTGTATGAAAATTAAAATACAGCTTGCAATACATAGAAAAAGTTGAGGTGAATGTAGCTTTAGAAAATATGAAATTATTAGTAAGCCAATATAGATTTGTGTTTTTTAATCAAATATGTTATTTTTCAACAACATGTATAAATCTCTTTGCAATGGGATTGTTATCGTAATGTAATCCTGTGTTCAAGTTTCAAATAAACATTTTGAGTCTTGAAAACCTACAAGTAGTGAATTCCCACCTATGATCTTAACTAGATTATGAATGGAAATAATTTTAAAGGAAACAAATTTCACATCATTTAATGGATCATTACTGCTATTTGCATTTTTGCTTCCTCTGTAGCGGATTTATAAAATATATTCAAAGTGTTCTTTTCCCCCCCAAACACATTTTCTTTTTTAAAATATGTATTTGCTAGATTCCTGTCTTTCACTACTAAAGAAAATGCTTTGTTTAACAAATTCTGAAAACATTAGCAACTACTAGTGCTTAATAATTTTGGTAGAAAAATATTTCCAGTTCTGCACTTCATTTAAATACATAAATCTTTTCTAGTCTTCCTAGATGAAAAGTTCCCCCTTTAAATAGCCTATGCCAACTGGAAATAAAAATATAAATAGGAAACTATCCCATAACTTCGGTTACATAATGCATATTAAATGTATAAAAAAAACCAAGATTTTAATATATACTAGTATAATTGAATTGGCATCCTTCATTCTCAAGAGACTATGGTATCGTGCTCTGAAAAGAGAAGCTGGAGTGTCCTCTCCGGAGCATGAGGCCTGGGTAATTTAATATGGAGGATAAACTGTTATCCAAGCAGCAGATCCCCCCTCTCCACGTCACTGAAATAGTCTAATGGAATTTCAGAGCCAATACGATTAGTTCCAGCTGTGTCACAGGAGTTACCAGAATGTGGTTGTATACAATCACGAATTGCTTACGGGACTCCGATTCAGGATTTTGCCTCGAGGTTGACTCCTGAAGCCCTTTCCAATAATAGATATAGCCGCAAGGCAGTGGAGATTTGAAATCAGAGTTTCCCTTCTCCCTAGAAGATGGTTCTACTGTTTTATCTGCTGTTGGGGCATAAAGCCTCTTCTGCCTTCAAAACTGTTGACCATCTTCTATAACCCTGGAAAGGGTCCCTTACGAGGTGCATAATTATATATAATTATAATTATACTATCATGAAAGCATTTCTTATTGGATATTTATTTTGACTGTTGTATAGACAAATCAAGTATATTAGAGATACATGGGAAACAACTGTTATTGCATAAGCATAGCATGGAGCCAAGATGACTCAATGGTTAGAATGCAATATTATAGGCTTATTCACTGCTCACTGCCAAGAGCTTGATTTTGACCGGCTCAGGGTTGACTCAGCCTTCCATCTTTTTGAGGTCAGTAAAATGAGGACCCAGATTGTTGGAGGCAATACGCATATTGCCAATGCAAATTTGATAAGATTATTATTAAGAAACAAGATGGAAGCTTTCTCTGATCTCATATTTATATGAAGCTAAAAGATTTGCCTAGGATATAAGAGAGTGTGTGGAGCAAATGATTACAAGTATTATGATGTCATTACACAAATACTACAGCTTATCTACTTGTGTCAGATATTACAATGCAAATGTGTAATTGCAGTATTTGTATCCTTGGTTTCGTAAAGAAGACCCACATGGTCATATTTTTATCCAT